CCATAGGTTATGGATTCCTCTAAAAATCAGCTGAGGACAGAGGGTCACGTTTCATGCTGGTTGGACAGCTGCTTTATCCAAAGGTACAAGGACTGAGAATGTACCTTGCCCCAGTGAGGCAGACAGACTGTCAACAAATGTGGCAGCAGTTGTATGGAAGAAAATAAATCAGCCAGAAGTATACTCTCTTATACACTGGTAGCTACCAGCTGGACAACAGCTTCTGTTCCACCTTTGCACCTTTCTTCTAGGTGTTCCTGGAATTCCTTCCCTCGTTTCCTGATCTCTCATATGTCAAAGCATCCTTTGAGACTTTCCTTCAAGTCATCCACAGTAAAACCTCCTCTTTTCAAAGGCTTTTTCTGCTAATCTCAGAAGGAATTTACAATGTTCTGAGACCAAAACTTTCCTGTGTAATTAAGCAATTTTATATAGAAAGGAAAAACAGGCACTGAATTTTGTTATTTTTCTTGGGCTGCAGTGAGATCACCGACACCATTAGAAGCAGATACATCACAATTACAAGAATTAGATCTCTAGTTAAGGAAAACATAGCTACTTACTTTAGGTGCTCCATCCTTTTGAATGCCTACATCATTAGTTGCTATTCCTTTCACACTACCATCTTCATGAAAAAGAACCTTTGGAAATATTTAAACAAACATTTAAATGATCCGTCATCCATTCACAAGACCTAATACACAACTTCTAAACACCATGTCTTGCACTGTCTAATGGTACAAATTGGAAGACAAAGTAATTACTAATGTACTTTATGATCTGCTTTGCTGGATCTGGGCCAGGGGGTTAAGTCACTGAATGCTGTGACTGTACAAATGCTGTGACTGTACAAATAATATGGGGTGCAGCAGAGGGGGTTCCAAAATGCTTCTCGTATGCTTGCTGATATCATTATTACCTCAGCAGCTGCATAGCCTGGATACAGCTCCACACCCAAAGCTTCTGCTTGTTCACCCAACCATCTCACAAAGTGTCCCAGACGTACTATGTAATTCCCATGATTAACCATTGGAAGTCCTGGGCAAGAAACAAATAAGCATATGACCACACCTGAAACAGAACACTAAGCAAACAAACACCAGCTATATACATCAGATATTATATCTTTTTCTATAACTACTATCTTCAAAATAATACCACTGTGTTATTACAGCCATCATCTACATAGATACAAACATTGGAAGTGATTCTCCATACACTCACAATGCTACATCGAATCAAAATTGTTTGAGGCACAAAAAACCTGAAAAGAAAACTAAGTAGTACAAATTGCTCCTCCCCACACCTTACCTGGCAGAATTGGTACTGGAATTCTAGATTTCTTTGTTAAAATTCCGAACTTGTCTTCAGTTACAGGAGTATGAAGTGGAGCCTACATAAAAAAGAGAACAGTAACAGAGCAGTACGTTGTTTTCACAGCCAATCCAGACCAACAAAAAAAATCCAACACAGCAAAGTAAAAAACCAATTACTGTTTGCACCTTGCAAGATCAACGTATTTTAAACGGTACTACACAACACAAAATTGAGTCAAATGGATGAATTTATTACACACTAGCAACATGCTTGTATGTTCATACATACCCCCCGCTCCTTCCAGTCTGGAAAAAGTTCTTCTAAGGATCGTGGCTCAAGACAAGCACCAGAAAGGGTATGTGCACCAATCTGAGATGCCTTTTCCACCAGACAGACACGGATTTCTTTGCCCTGCTCAGCAGCTAACTGTTTGAGACGAATAGCAGCAGAAAGACCTGCAGGGCCTCCTCCAACAATGACAACATCAGCTTCCTCTGCAAATCTTTCCATGTTTACCCCTTTAATAGGAAAAAAAGATGATAATTAGATAATCCAATCTCCAATTTCTCCCAGCCTCTTTCTGCTAAACCTTGTTTAGTGATGCTGGCTATTTGGTATCTGAGAAGTATTACCTGTCGTAAAAGGCAGATAACATTTAACAGAATCCCCTCAGTACTTGGAACAGTGCACAAGGACATTAGCCTTTCAGTATAACAGTAGCTCTTTTTAAGTTGTAAGAAAACAAGCCATGAAAAACAATCTCTACGCACCATAAATATCAGGAAGTTTAATATTAAGTTAATTAGGAGCCCAATTGGCTTGCTACATCAGAGACACCTGGTGAAATTCTAGGGAAGGGAGAAAGAACTAAAAAAAAGAGCCTTAGTTAGAACAAATTCCTTTATTTTACACTAATCAATCAGAGACTTTTCTAGAAGTGAAACCACTAAAACTGATAAATGCAGAGACTGGAATGCCTAGAGATGAATATTCATCTTATTTTCTCACACTCTTACAGTAAACAAAACTGAGGAGAAGTCCAACACATACATACATAACAGAACTAAAACTTGCTGCGTTAGTCCTTAACACTAAAGTTAACTGAAGATTTTCTTGAAATATCTAGGATTGGATTTAATGTAATTTCATTTCCGAGCAATAAAGACACTCATGAGATGGCAAGCGTAACATTTCATTTGAAATATAAATGTTGTACTTAATACAATTTCTGTTAAAAGGAAAAATAGCAACAAATTTCAGTGCTATTAAAGCTCAATCAGAATAAAAGCATTTAGAATGCATTTTTCCCCACTAACCTTCCCATCGTTTGTCTTTGTCCCGAGGATGAATGGTATAATGTGTGGTTATGCGAGGCACAGCAGCAGTGGATGCCCATCCTGCTGTATGCAGTGAGGGAAGACAGTCTCTCTTTATGAGCTTCAGAGCATGAAAGCACTGACGTGCTGCAAAAACAGAAAACAGGTTTGTCAAAACAGTCCTTTTTGAAAACTTTCAATTTTTCCCAGCACAAGCAGTACAACAAATACGATAGTCCCTCTCCTCCCCCAAAAGACTGCCAGAAAAGGAGGAGTCAAACACAGATTCCTAGATTTGTAACAGTTAGGATCACATTGAACCAGTTCAACATTCTTACCATAATACCACTCAACATACTAGACAACCATTTCTGACTGCTGCTATGCTGCTATGCTGATACAGCATAGCAAGCACATAGAAAGGGAACATATATTTCAAGTTCCTATTTGACCTTGAACTTCAACAGTAACCCTTTGGCCAGTTCAGGTCGGCTGTCCAGGTTCTGTCTTCTCCCAGTTCCCTGTGCCCCCGCTCTGGCAAGATGAGAAGCTGAAAAACTGAAACATCCTTGACTCCACACAGGACTGCTCAACAACAACTAGAACACTGGTCTGTTATCAACACTGTTTTTTCCCCTAAAACCAAAACATTACAGCTGAAACCATGATAGGTGATTAGAAGGCCAACAAAAACATCTATCACAGTCCTGCACAGAAGGAGTCAGGACACACCAAGTAATAAGCATTGGCTGTGATGAATTTTTAACACAAATTCTGTACATAGCCAAGAGAGCATAAGAGTTATAACCCTGTCTTCTCACAACCCTCAAGCATCCCTTGCCTGCAACTGGAAGCCGTGTGGTGTGGCTGACACATCCGAGGGATGGGATGACATTCAGAGACCTAAACAGGCTTGAGCAGTGGGCCCAGGCGAACCTCAAGAATCACAGAATGGCCTAGATTGAAATGGAACTTGTGGATCATCAAGTTCCAATCCCCTGTTGTGGGTTCCATAAGCCCAAGTGCAAAGTCTTGCACCTGGTCATGGCAACCTTCCATTACCAGTACAAGTTGGGGAATGTAAGGATGGAGCACAGCCCTGCCAAAAAGGACTTGGGAGTACTAGTGGATGGCAACCTGGACATGAGTCAGCAACGTGTCCTCACGGCACACAAAGCCAACTGTATTCTGGGCTGCATTGAAAGAAGTGTGGCCAGCAGGGCAAAGGAGGAGATCCTGCTTGTCTACTCTGCACTGGTGAGACCTCACCTGAAGTACTGCATATGGAGTTCTCGATGCAGAAGAGATAAGGATCTGTTGGAGCTCATCCAGAGGAAGGCCACAGCAATGATCCCAAAGATAGAACATCTTTCCTGCAAGGACAGGCTGAGAGAGCTGGAAAAGGCCCCGGGGAGACCAGAGAGTGGTTTTTCAGTATCTAATGGGGGCTATAAGAAGGAAGAGGACAGATTCTTCAGCAAGGTCTGTCATGACAGGACAAAGGAAAAGAGCTGCAAACTAAAAGAGTGAATGTTTCGACTGGATATAAGTGAGAAGTTTTTCACAACAGGAGCAGTGAGGCACTGGGACAGCTGCTCAGAGAGGTGGTAGGTGCCCCATCACTGGAGACATTTAAGGTCAGGCCGGACTCTGAGCAACCCGATCTAGATGCAGGTGCCCCTGTTTGCTGCAGGGGAGTCGGTCTAGGTGACTTTTAAGGGCTTGTTCCAACACAAACAGTTCTAGGAGAAGCAATACAAGGACATCAAAACCCACCTAGCTCCAGCTTTTCTGTGTGAGAAGTTGTTTTCCCTTCTATTGTTTTCCCTTCTACTTATAAGCTTCTTTCGAGTACTACACAGCCACAGCGATGTTTCCCCAGAGCCTTCTCTTCTCCAGGCTGCACAAGTTCCCGCGGCCTGCCTTCACAGGACGCTTAGCTTCACTTCTGACAAGCCAGCAGGGCTGCGGGCACTCAGGGTTACACGGCCCAGACCCGCACCGCGGCTCCTTACCACACAAGTCCCCTCAGACAGCACCGAGGAGCTCCCAGGGCCGCCGGCCAGACAAGGGAACGGCACCGGCTGCCACGCAGCGGCGACCTTTGCTCGCATTCCGCGCCAAGCCCCAGCCCCGCCACGCCGTGCGGGCAGCCCTACGGCCGGTTCCCCGAGTTACCTCGGCTGGAGGACGGACAGCGGGAAAACATCATGGCGGTACCACACAGCCCCTCAGCAGCGCGGGCATCTGCCCCCTGCCCCGCCGCGCGTGCGCACTCCACAACGCTCGCCCCGCCCCTTGGGGAGAACTACCGCTCCCGGCGTGCCGCGCGGCTCTCGCGAGACAGGGCGGGATCGGAGCGGGACGGGGCGTGCGGCTCTCGCGAGACAGGACGGGGTCGGAGTGGGGCTGGGCGTGGCGCGGGTCATGGCGGAGGCTTCGCCCAGCAGCGGACCTCGGCGGGTTCGCAGCGGCAGTGAGGGAGCGGTGCCGGCCGGAGCCCCGCAGCTGGAGGAGGTGGAGATGCAGATCGGCGATGTGAGTGCACGCTAAGTGGGCGGGAGGGGGGACTGTCTCATAGTATTCTTCTGGGGAAGCTGGCTGCCCGTGGCCTGGACAGGTATAGCCTTCTTTGGGTAAGGAACTGGCTAGAGGGCCGTGCCCTTAGGGTAGTGGTTAAGGAGTTAAGTCCAGCTGGTTACCTGTTTCAAGTGGTGTCCCCCATGGGACTGGGGCCCATCTTGTTTAATATCTTTATTGATGACATAGATGAGGGCATTGAGTGTACCCTCAGTAAGTTTGCAGATGACACCAAGTTGGCAGGTGGTGTCGATCTGCCTGAGGGTACGGAGGCCTTGCAGAGGGATCTGGATAAGCTGGCTCACTGGGCTGAGGTGAATGGGATGAGGTTCAACAAGGCCAAGTGCCAGGTCCTGCACTTTGGCCACAACAACCCCATGCAGCACTATGGGCTTGGGGACGAGTGGCTGGATGACGGTGAATAGGAAAGGGACCTGGGGTTTTGGTTGATGCTCGGCTGAACATGAGCCGACAGTGTGCCCAGGTGGCCAAGAGGGCCAACAGCATCCTGGCCTGCATTAGAAATAGTGTGGCCAGCAGGAGCAGGGAGGTGATCATCCCCTGTACTCAGCACTGGTGAGGCCGCACCTCGAGTACTGTGTTCAGTTTTGGGCCGCTCACTGCAAGAAAGACATTGAGGCCCTGGAATATGTCCAGAGAAGGGCAATGAAACTGGTGAGGGATCTGGAGTACAGGTCTTATAAGGAGCAGCTGAGGGAGCTGGGATTGTTTAGTCTGGAGAAGAGGAGGCTCAGGGGAGACCTCATTGCACTCTAAAACTTCCTGAAGGGAGCTTGTGATGAGGAGGGGTTTGGCCTCTCCTCCCAGCCAACAAACAGGACCCAAGGAAATGGCCACAAGTTGTACCAGAGGAGGTTTAGGTTAGACATAAGGAAGAACTTTTTCTCTCAGAGTGGTCATGGAATGGCTGCCCAGGGAGGTGGTGGAGTCGCCGTCCCTGGCAGTGTTCAAGAGGCGTCTGGATGAGGAGCTACAAGATATGGTTTAGTGCTCATGGTAGCAATGGCGATGGGAGGATGGTTGGACTAGATGATCTTCCAGGTCGTTTCCAACCTTGTGATTCTATGATTCTGTCTGTCTGCCCGCCCTCAGGCCGCCTTCTCGCTGAGCCGCGTCCTGCAGGCAACAAGCGCCGTGTCAGCACAGGTGGAGGCGCTGGCGGCTCGCTGCTCGGAGAACGCGCGCTGCCTGCGGACGTGGCGGGACCTGCTGAAGGAGGGCTACGACTCCCTCAAGCCCAGTGAGTGAACCGCCGATGGACCGAGCCATATGGGCGTGTGTTTTGTGTGCGTAAATCGCAATTGCGTGGAAATAACATTGCAACTTTGGACTTCCTCAGAGGCTCAGGTGATCTCAGGTTCGTGCTGAAGTAGCGCACGGAGTTACCCTGCTCCCTGTGTTTTGCGGCCCTTTGAAGACTCCTCCTTGCTGGATGTCTTCGTGAGAACTTCCACAGCCTCCAGCCTTCCTGTGCCCGTGCCCTTTCATTATGGAAAGGATGGAATTGTGTGGCAGGTCGTGGCTTGTTCACAAGCTTTAGGTAACCCCCCTGTCCCAGATGTGATTTTTTTATTGTGATATATTTCTATGAGGTTGCATTTTTGTTTTTACAAGAAGTTTTATTACTGTCATCAATTTTACACTATTTCCTGTTGTAATAAAGTGCCTTATGATGGTCCACGCAGCTCAGCAGTGTTTACTGTTAGGATGAATTGTTCTGAAGCACAAGGAAAAGCTTCCATCAGTTAGGACAGAACATGTGAAATGGACTCTCCCATCTCGGGAAAGAACTTTTTTTCTACTTGATGCTGTTTTATGTCTTGCCTTAAGCAGTTACTAGTTAATTAGTTTGATGCTAACTCTTACAGGGCCTTTGGGTCCTTAAGATCAGCTTTATATATATATAATATCTGTAATAAATATCTGTACTGAAACTCTTGTGCCTTTACCACAGCTGTAAATGCTAAAATACAACGGGAAGCTGCAGGAGAATGTAGCTCTACCCTGGATCAGCCAAATTTTCCCTGGTAAGGCTATTTTAAAGAGAAGCTGTAGTTTTGTTATCAAAGCAATAAAGTTCTTGCAACAAATTTTGAACTGATGGATATTCTTGGATTACTTATAGAAATGAAGATGACATTGAGTGTGTTCAGAATCAACTTAAAAGAAAAATAGGAATATTGATAAGGACAGACATTTTTTTGAAAGCAGGGGAGCAGCTTTCTGAATGACCCTTAGATTACACAAGCCCTGTTGAATTGAGTTCTGAGTGTCTGGGTTAAAGGTGATCTACATTGCAGAATGTTGGTTTTTTTGTTTGGTTGGTTGTTTTTTTCCCAGTAACTCAAAATGCTGCCAAACAACTTGGAACAGAAGTCATTTTGTTCAATGGACAATCTTTTATTTTGATTGAACGTACAGTAGATACTTAACTTTTGATTTCAAGATAATCCAAAGTTCTGTAAACAGCTGAAGTGTGAGTCACACTATTTTTAATTCTACTTCTTACATTATTAAGAAGTTAAGTGCAAACACCAGAAGTATCTTTTAACTTCATTTAAAAAAAAGCTTCAAATCACCAATACAAAATAATTTATTTTACCTTCTTGGGCTTCCAGGCCATTGGGCTATGAGTATGGTACTAAAAGAACAAAAGAAATCATAGTAATTCTTAAAGGAAAAGATCTTCGGTATGTATATGCAAAAGAACTGCCTCTACATCTTACGCCTTTTTTCTGGGGTACAGAGGTTTGTTTCAGATGGATAACATTATTGTGCTGTCCTATTACAGGAAGGAAAAATGCAGCCCAAAAAGTGCTGAACTGTGGTGTTCCTAAAATTTTTTTAGCCATAATGCATCCATTCAGGTATACAAGCAGACTGAATGTGTATGTGATGACACTTAGTAAGACTTACCAGTATACAGAGATAGATAAAGGCTGAAACCTGTTGAAGTGTGTAAGCTGTTGGGAGCTATTTAGTGTAGCTCATAATGAAATGGTGAGGAGAAGAGCAGCATCAAGAGATGGGGGTACTCAGTTTGGTCTTCCTAACTCTTCAGAAGGGAGAAATTTCCTCTAGTTAACAGCTGGAGGACACACAACTGAGAAACACATTTAAAAAATATATATATTCTGGTTCTTCTTGAATTAGAACAATTGTATGGGTGAAACAGTTGATAAAAGGAATAATGTTTCCATCTGTTTGACTTTGACAAATATAATAAAGTCATCCAATTATGAAACAAAAATATTTTCTTAGTGCTATTCCCAAAAGCTTTTAAGAGCTGTATGCAGTCTAAAAAGTCTGCCACTCAGAAATTTTGAGAGGAGTATGTTTTTAAAGATGAAACCTGTCAACTCTGAAAAATAAAATAGCTGTTGAAATGGGTATTTTTTTAAATTATAAAAAGTTTATTGAAAATAGCCTTTTTTTTTCTCCCAAAGATAGATGATTCTGAAATGTTCCGATTTCAGTGTGAGATGTTTTAAATATCACTTCGTTATTTTTTTTTTCCCCACACTCCTGGCTTGCTGGAGGAAAAAAAGAAAGAAGAGATTGACTTCTCATTCTGAACTAGAATGAGTTGTCAAAATAGCAGGAACTGCTGCAAGGTGGAAATAATACTTCATATACTGGTTCTACCTGCAAGCAGCCACACTATGCTTCTTTCTGCTTTGAGTTCTGGTGTGCAGGAGCCCGGGTGTCATACCTCCTTCACTTGTCATCATCGTTGTAAAGCAGCAACTCCACAGGGCGTGAAGCTAACAGTGCAGATGTCACTGTGAAGATTCCAAATGTATTTACGTGTACGAATTTAGTCTTATTGACTGTGTAGTGACAGAGGCATCAGAAGAGTCCGTACAAAGCACAGGCTTAGTTAGCTTTGGTGTGATTTCATGCGTTGGCCACATCTCTACCCAAATGAAGGATGGACCGTAAGCTTTCTGACTGCCTTTGCCTCTTTTGGATCTTCTTTGTCTGTAGTTGTACCAAAACTGGTGAATCATTTCTTTGAAGGGTCGTGTAGTCAAAGTGTAGAGAAGAGGATTCAGAGCACTATTTATTGGCAAGATAAATATCACTACCCAAGATGTTATGGTACCTTGGGGAGAGAAAAACAAAGGAAGCTGTAGTAGGCATTATAGCATTTCTACCCATTAATTAACATGAGCACTTGATGCTTAGGAAACAGAGCTTCCTGCTTAGAGAGATGGCTGCACACTTCCAGGTTGGCTTCGTATCACAACAGGTTGTTTCTTCTCACTATTATGTATGCACTACCCTTTGCTCTCGCATCTTCTCTCTACTTTGCTTCCTGTCACTGCCTGTGATCTATATTCCCTGTCCTCAGATATTATTCATTATAAGTCCCTCCACAAAGCTACATCTCCTAACTCTTTTTTTCCCTCAGATCCTGCACCAGTACTCTGTTCTTTTCAGTGCATTTGATACACCTGTATTTTCTTTTGCTAGGTGTCCTGTTGCTAGATGTCTCCATGTTCACACTTCCCTCCTTTATCATGGTTTCCCGTTCTCCTGCCTGTGTCAGTGCCTGTGTGCATTTCTTCATTACCCCATTCTCATCTTTACTGTTCGGGATGTTAGGAGCAGGCAAGAGAAGGAACAGGATTATTATACTGAAACAAGAAACCCCAAAAGAGAAATGGCATTTAAAACTTCTGTAATCTTAGACAACCACCTGTGATGTCTTTCATTTGAGTTAGTTAAAATGAGTTAGTACTATTTAATCTAGTCTGTCTAATGCAGAATGTTTACTTGTCAGGACCACCCCGTGGTTCAGCAAGTTTTATTGTACATTTCCTGACTCAGAATACATTTGGTTCTGCTTGCAGTGTTCTCTTAAAAATCTCTTAGGTTGTTAGATAACTTCATGAAGAAGCATTTTACAAGACCTAACATAACTGAAAACTATTTTACACGATGAACCTAATTTTCAGACATTTGACATTTAAGTCAAAACTTTGAAAAGGTAACTCCTAACACTGCTGGTCCTCATGCTAACATGTTCTTTCCAACACAGTTTACAGGATTTACATAACAAAGTTATTCTTCTATCGTGTGCCAGCATTAAAAAGAGAAAAAAATAAATAAGGTATAGTTTTTAATCTTTTACTGGTTTTACATGGGAGTGTATTTTTAGCATGAAGAAGCTCAATTTTACATAACTCAGTGCTTGAAAGTTATTTCAGGATAAGAATTATATGGTTAAATCGAGGTATGAAATTTTGTATTGGCTTGAGCCCTAGTTAGGCAACAGAATCTCCAAAAGCCAGAAGATGAGAAAGGCCAATGCAGTGCAAGCTTGGTTTACAAAATCATCTGATATATTTTATAGATATTCCATTGGGACAGACTTCAAAGATTTTATTTTTTGTGTTTTGTCCAAATTAAATGTGACTAAACTTGTTGATGATAGTAATATAGTCCAGTACAGTAATAAAGAGAAGTATAATTCATTATATTGTGTGTTCATCTATGAAAATAAATAAGCAGATAGTTCATTACAGTAATATAATTCAGTACATTCAGTTCTTTGTTCTTCTAAATGAGAAACTATCTTCACACACAGTCAAAACAGCAGCGCAAAAGGAAGAACATACCTGGTATTTCTACTTGCAGTAAAGAAAGCAGTTTCAAAATAAAAATGGGTATCCAACAAAGTGCATCAGTAAATACAATGAAGAAAAAACGTTTGGCAAGAGTCATCTCTTTTTTGATATGATTCCGAATTTCAGTAGCCATAATAGCTGTTTGGTGAACACTGTAGAACATACTTCCGTAGGAAAAGACAATGATGAGAAAAGCTGCCAAGTTTACACCTGTTGAAAAAGTTTAAATTAGTTACTTCTTAAAAGCAGAATGGCAATTCCACATCACTCGTTTGCAAGTTAGATAATAAAGAAAAATCCTTGCTCTAAACTGCCAATCCCATAGAATTAAATAAACAGTCTTCACTCAAACATGGAATCTCTACTCCAGTAATTACATTATCATCACCTGACAAATGTTTGCTATTGGAGCCAAACAGCGCAGTTCTTCTCTTTACTTCCCTGGCAAAAAAACTATTCCTTCAGGAACTCAATGATCCTACTTTCTTTCCAACTTCCGAGCCCTTCATACATTTTAAGATACCTACGTATCAATCTAATATAACAAAATAGAATGGAAAAGGTCTGTGTGAAACATGAACATCCCAACAAAGCTGTCAAATATGTTTGAAAGTCAGGTCCATAATTGTATATAAGGAAGGCTCTAATCATGTATCAGGAAGAAAGGCAACTTACCTAAAAAAATGACAACAGAATAAATCTGACTTCCTGAACTTTCTGATTGCTCTGAGTGAAGAGGGAAACAGACGCCATTGGTGCCATAGTAGTTCCTGAAAAATTCCTTATTGCTCAGTGGAATAAAAGCAACAACAAACCCAATTATCCAGATAAGAACTAAAATGGAAATTGTCCTGCATTTTCTGGGCTTCAAACACCTAAAAGGATAAACTATGCAGATGTATTTCTCCAAAGTCAGGTAAGTCAACAGTAAGACTGACACCTCTGTAGACAGAATAGCCAGCGATCCCACCAATTGACAATGAATACTGTCCATCCACAACTGAGCGTGCTTGTTGTATTCTCCACGATATTTAAGATCAAAAGCTCCAATCACAAATAAATATATTCCCATCAGACAGTCAGCACCTGTGGGCATAGTGCTTAACATCATTATTTACACATCTGAATTTCCCATTCTCTTTGTGTATATGTCTGCTGAAAAACAGACATGCACACATTAGTACACATTTTTAAGTCAGCTAGTACATAGTTACAAAACCAATGTTAGAGTTGGAATGATACTGTGAGTCATAGTGAAGGCCACATAATTCAGCTCTGTTACTCCTTTTTGTCAGCTTTTGTTTGAACCAATATTCTATGTTTCATAGTTGTTTTCAGACTTATATATTGAATCTTGAATAAAGTTTTCAAGCTGGAAAAGCATACTGCAATTTTTAGAAATATGCTTTCAACCCTTTTTTGGGTTGGACTAACAGTTTACTTTTGATTTGTCCATCTTACAATAATTCAAAACTGATGTGCACAGGCTTCAACTAAGACTTGAAAGCAGTCAGCAAACACAAACAACAGTGCTCTTCCTCCTGATTAGCTTAGCAGGGAAAGGCAGAAGGCAGAGGGAAGCTACTGTGCATGCCTAGGGTAACGCTAGAGGGATTGCTGTGACATTCGTTGAGCTGCTTTTGGAGCATTTGACTGAGCTTGTATTATAGATCCCTCAGGATGCACTCACCAGTCCTCACATGCTCAATAATGATGTCAGGGTAAAAATAATTATTAAATTCCAGCATTTGCTTCACATTTTCAAGTCTAGTGCAACAAGAGAAACAATGAGCCTTGATTGCTTATACTGAAATATCATGACACCTCTTCTTTCCCCTATTGTATTTTATACGGACTTATCAATAAAAGGCCCAGTAACAAATATTTCTGTAATGCTAACGCTATAAATTGAAGAGGAGCTGTCAACACAGAGCTGAAGGTGTCTCATGTATACACACACACACACATGCTTATATATATAGTTTGCAACTAGAAGTTTTGCATGGTGATCAGATTTTTCCAGTGGTTAAGCAATAACAATTTGAGAATCACTGACACGCAGTATACAGAAATGCTGCAATTTTATACCCTGCTGACAATTACGTTTAAAAATGCAACTAATACCACTTGTGAAATATTAAGTTTGTACTGAGATGGGGTATTAGAAATGGTAACAGAATCCCATGTAATCGTTTAGATTGTTTAGTCTAAGAAAAGATGAGGCTCAGAGGAGACCTCATTGCACTCTACAGCTTCCTGAAGGGAGGTGTGATGAAGAGGGGTTTGGCCTCTCCTCCCAGCCAACAAACAGGACCCGAGGAAATGGCCACAAGTTGTACCAGAGGAGGTTTAGGTTAGACATAAGGAAGAACTTTTTTTCCTCCGAGAGTGGTCAGGCACTGGAATGGCTGCACAGGGAGCTGGTGGAGTCACCGTCCCTGGCAGTGTTCAAGAGGCATCTGGATGAGGAGCTGCAAGATCTGGTTTAATGCTTGTGGTAGCAATGGTGATGGGAGGATGGTTGGACTAGATGATCTTACAGGTCGTTTCCAACCTTGTGATTCTATGATTCATTAAGAGGAAATTCTTTACCCAGTGGGTGGTGAGGCCCTGGCACAGCTGACCAGATTGCTGTGGGTACCCCATTCTTGGAAGAACTCAAGATCAGGCTGGATGGGTCCCTGGGCAGCTGAGCTGGTGGGGGTTAACCAGCCTACAGCAGGGGTTGAGGCTGGGTGGGCTTTGAGGTCCCTTCCTACCCAAGCCACTCTGTGATGCTGTGAATAGTGTTTACACATGCGATTTGCTATTTACTCAAACACACGTACCAGAATTTAGGTTTTTGGGCCTTTGAAAAAAAATTCAATTTTTTCTTCTTGCTGAAGAAATTGAGAACTTGACACAATGTCTACAGAACTGGAATCGTGAAACCTTTGCAATTTACCAACTGTTTGTTGTTACAGAACAAAGGTAGCATCCAACAAGACTTCCTGGTGTGTAAGATACGGCATTTTGTACTGCCATTCACAAGAGCATGAAGGTTCAGTAAATCTAATGCTGGAAATGTGTCACCGTTCTGTAATAACAAATCCTGTACACACTATGAGCAGATCAAAACAATATTTTTCTACTTTCATGCATGGAATACTCACAGCAGAGAGACATTATTGAGATGCCGTGGAGCTTATTTTCCGATCTGATGTAAGGCCTCATACAGATAACAAAAATATTTCCAAAGCAAGTGATGGCAGATACAACCCAGACAAACACTCTCTGTATAATGCTAGCTAAAAGATTCTCCAGGGATGAAATCCCATCAGTATTGGGCTTACAGCTGCGCACATGAGGGGCATATCCACAGTACTGGAACTTCTTGAAATATCTAGTCGTGAGAAAGAAAGACAGAAAATAGATGTCTGTATCTTTGTAGCCAGAATATAAAACTTCATTGGTAAACATTCAGAAAACGTATCTCAAAAGAAGAAAAATGAATTTTAAATTATCTAATTTAATAACTGTTTGTGTGCCACTTTTCTGACAGTTTTATTTTTTCTTACTCAGTAATCTGCAAATTGTGAAATTACAACCAAAGAAAACAAGCTGGAATGATGATCTACTTACATGTGGGAAAGGTTTCTAAGTGGTATGAACATTCTTCTCTGGATGTTTGCAATTTCAATGCCCTCCAAGCTGCTGTAAACAACATATTCTCAATAAAATGCAACAGAAACTCAGTAGCAGAAAGACAAATTTGGTGAGCATTTATATTGTATTCATATGATGAAACTGTGAATTCATTTTATGAAATTAGAGATGAACTTAATTGTGTCTACTCCATCATTCCTTTGGAACTTGAATAAAAACCCTAAATAAAAGCTAAAGTGGAACAAAATGAATCACACTTCATTTTACTAAACTTGCTATTTTTCCAGTATCTCAAAGAAGGCAGTTTTGGTGCTCTCAGCACTGCAATCAATGATTGCCTTTTCCAACTGCTGCTCTACCAAAGTTCTTTCACCATCCCTGGAAAAATCATAACTTGTTCCAGTAGTGATATTTTAAATTTCTGCCTTCTACCCCAAATACTGCTTTAGTAGGCAAACACACCACTGCAGGAATGCAGTGTTTTACTGCGTCAAGAGCAGCAGGAAGCTGGTACACAGAATTCTGCATATTAGGGAAAACATTGGACTTCTGGTGACAAATACATAGGATTTCTTATTTGATTGTTTTTAATATGTGGAAGATGGCACTATAATTTCTCCTACAGTACTAGATCAATAAAGTGTGACTGTGCAGGTTGCTCTTTCAGAACGTCAGTTTTTGTATTCTAGTCTAAAATAATTAGGTGTGTAACCTGAGAAAACCTTTGGTTTTCCTTGTGTGGAACCTTGTTTGAATCCATTTTTAAATGCCCTGAGTGCAAACTACTTGTGAGTTCTGGGTATATTTAGGCAAAAGAGGATAAAAGTATCAATCTTCATGGTTTTTAGTTTTGGAAAGTTCTGCTATGGTACAAGAATAAATCCCCAAATATAGAAACCTGTAAATTTTAGTTAAGCCCTGAAATTAATTCTGGGCTTTATTTCCCAAGCTATACCTACTATTTTAAGCTGGGAAAGAGGCAATGGATATTTTACAGACTGAGGGCTGAAACATACTGTTTCATGTAGATCTGTCTCAAGGTTCATCAGCATTTCTAACTTGAAATATGGAAGGTCCTGATCACTCAGTTGCACGAGTTCTTTGAGTGTTAAATAATGAATGAAGGATATGCTGCAACTTGAATGCTAAAGAGGTAACTTATAATTCTTTTCTGTGCTCAGATACTTGTTTTTCCTGTGATTTGTACAGACTTACTACATCACACAGTCTTCACAAGCTGGCAGCATTCGCGTTAGAGCTGCTGTGGTAGCCAATATACAAAATCTTCCTCTCAACTCTTTAAAAAAGATTTGTAAAATCCCACCCCCTCTGACAAGACAGACGAACCATGATTGCTTTGTGGGTTTTTTTTTTTTTTTTTAATGGTGTTAGTAGTAAATTCTGTAAGAGGTGAAACAGATCCCCAATCAAACCTGTACATACATCAATTTCCTTCTGATTTCCTGCCTTTACTGATTCTAATGTTGTCTACCCATGGCATTCAATAGCCCCTACTGAGCTTCACATGACTCTTAACCCCATGAACAAGTCGTGCAAGATCAAAGCTGGGTTCCATTAATCTTGCTCTTTAACAGTTGAAAAGACAATATCCTTGTGAAGTAGAACTCATGATTTCTTTTTGTTTGAGAAATATCCATTAAGAATCTTGTATTTAAATGAAGATATATGTGAATATTGCTAGTAGTTACTTTCCAGGCTGAAATTTTTGAATAGCTACAATCTGGTTCAAAGGAAATTTCTTTTAAAACACGTTTTGTATTATGAACTTCTGAAGAAGATGTGCTTTATCACAAAGATGACATAGCTAAGAGTTTGAATAGAAAAACTTGATACTTACAGGGATTTGAGTTTGGTTAGAAAATCAAACTGGTCCATTTGTATTTTCTTGATTGGATTATAAGAAAGGTTCCTGTAAATACAACAGAGACTTAAAGTAATATATCTTCTTTACAGCCTCTTCAAAGATAAAGTAAAACTACTTTTCAGCCCTCTAGGAAGGACCTGCTCTATTGGCAGTTGTGAATATAAATAACATCATTTGTGTAGGCTCTTCAGCTTGCTAAGTACTCTTCCAATGGAAAGAGTAGCCAGATGCTTCATTGCTATGCTACTGCCACATACACTCACATGCACATCTGCATCCCCCACTCTGATGCCTGACTATGTAAAAGAATGTAGTTGAACTGCACACATTTAGAAACAAAGTTTAATCTGGTAGTTGATAAAATCCATCTTTTCTAATCATTTCTGTGAATATAAATAGATACAGTTCTCATTTCTTCTCTCTATAACTCTTCCTTATGTTTTTGTTTAGATAAGGTAAGTTTAACATGAAAACTCAGCTGGTTACCCTTGGTTATTCCAGCCTGTTGTGACTGATCCCAAGAGTGCTGGAAAAGCAGAAAAATAAGGTATTGCACATGCTGGGTCCTGGCTAGAAACAGAGAACTTCTCAGTTATGTCTGGCAAGGGTAAGAACAGGGACTTTGCACAGGTGGGTTAACCTCCAGTAAAACTATTGCTCATGGCAATGAACAAAAAAAAAAAAAAAAGAAAAAAAATCAATGCTTTCTTAAAAGGTACATTGGGTTTACACAGCTGTTGAGTGCACTGGGGAGTCTTGCTGCCTCCCCCTATTCTGTTCCTAGTTCAAAATCAATGCAGGATTAAATGTGCTGGCCTGAGCTCTGTGGAGAGATCTTCAGTTTTGTGACATAATCTTGCAGATTATGTAAGAAAGACTGGGTCTTTACAGCACTTGAGAATTTTTCCATGCACGCTATGGAAAAGAAATAATGCCTTTTATGTTTGTTTGTTTGTTTCATAATATCTTACACTTTTTTGAATCTCTTTTACAAGAGGAAAGGACTTGCTAACAAGGCATCTCTATGAAGTTCTTACCCTTTTAATTTTTAGAGCCGAATCATAACATCATGTTAAAAACTCCCATCAGAACAATGAAGTTCTCCTGATACAACTAGCATAGGTCATTTTGCATATACTAACAAGATCTAGAAAAAAAATAGAATTTGAATTTGCTCTCTTTTTGGATATGAAAATGTACATAGTTTACAAAATTATTCTGGGCGAAATGGAAAACAAAATTAAATGACGTGTGAAATTGCTTTTGAGTCAAGTGATTTTTAGGCAAAGATAAAATGATTCATACAAACAGAGATGCTTTTTTTTTCCTGGCATTCATGAATGAAAGCATATTGTACGAGTAATGTACAGTCAAATAATAACAATAATAATAATAATAATAATAATAATAATAATAATAATAATAATAATAATAAAGAATCCTTACAGTTGTGAAAGCTCCTTTAGATCCTTAAACACATATGCAGGAAGTGATTCAATCTCATTGCTAGCCAAGTCCCTGCAGAAACAGCCATAGGTGAGATGTAGTAAGTTCTCAGTAGGTTCAACAATTCTGCTGAAGAGTTTTGTAATTTCAAGACACACAGTTTCATTCTATTTGATAAATAGGATATTACATATTAGACAGATTATACAACACTTGGACTATAAAAGACTATATGCTGTTAAAATAACACGGAAATCTAGATACACCAGTTTTCTCTTGGTCTAGTTATTTCGGAGACATCATTAGATACATAATTTATTATTATTTTATTTGCATCAAAAAGAAAGTAAAATGCCTTTAATTTATGGTAATTGATATACAGAAAATAAACTATAAAAGTTTGTGACTTGTTCTACAAGAAAGAGAAGAAATGGACTCACAGTTCGTCTAGCATTTGGAGAGAAGAAAAGCTGTTTTCGTTCAAAGATCTGATTTTATTCTGCCTCATCACCCTGGAAGGAGAAAACAAACATATATTTCTGCTGCTCAAGGTCTACTTGGCTTTGAAGAAAACTTTCCAAAACTTTTAAGATTCTTTCTTATCTGGATCTTCAGAAATCAGCCTCACTTATTCAGTTTACAAGCTCATCAGATACACAATTGCACAAATAACTTTTGTTGCACGTATGTGAATATATTGCGTGCTCTTTCAGCTGTGTTGCTACCTACCAACAACTAAAATACAAAAGTATTGCAGAATAACAGAGAAGCACAATTAACTACTGATTGCTTTGAGATTTCAAGATTCTTCCAGGAGTAAAACTAATTGTTGGGAGAAGTTTGAATGTTCAGGCTGTTCTTACTGCCAAGCTCATTTAGCAAGGCTGCCATTCTAGTTTAACTTTATTCACCCCAAACTTTCCTTTATCCATAGGAGATCAATATAGATCTGCTGAGAGCAGGAAAAAGATAAACTGGGCTTAGGACCTAACAGCCTTTCTGGACACAGGCTCATGGCTGTGCAACTCCTCCTTCACCCATATATCATCTGCTACTGCACTTGATCCTTGACTGAACAATCTGGATTTAATGAACAAAGAGAAAACCAAGAATAGGAGTACCATGGAAGAATTAAAAATTGGAAGTGTGAATAGGCAGGGTACTAATCTATCAAATGACTGACAGGATTACTGAAGTCATCACGACATTACAGTAGAAACTTTGAAGAGAATTCTACAATTCTAAAATTGTTGGGCCAACCAACCAGGCTGTTGAACTTTTTGAAGTGAAGAAATGAGCCACGTGGTTTTTGCTGCTTTTTGTTCTGTATTTTTTTTTTTCCCTTTTTCCAAGTAAAATGTCAGACTGAAAACTTCTTAATATTGGTCATCATCACTTCAGCAAAATTCAGCTGGGCACTTCAAGGCTGAACTTTGATACAAATTTAAACAGTGGTTATTCTGTATGGTGCTCATTTATAATTAAGTTTCCTTACATGTAAATAACCACGATATTAAGGAAAATTTCAGCTCATTCTCTCTAGCTAGAATATCCTTATTACTTACAATACAGTTAAATTACTGCAGGAGATGAAAGTGACGTTTCTTAAGTGATGAATATGGTTTCCTTCCAAGTCTCTAGGATATAAAAACAAAACATGCAAATAAATTTATTGCAATCAGGCTGTTATTCTAATGTAATTCAAGAAAGCTACTACCAGAACATCATGACTGCAAGAAGGAGAACAGAAACCAGACATCTAATTTCTCTGCACACCTGACTAATGACTCCCGGTCATCAACCCTGCTGTGAATCAGCAGGCATTCTGTACCACTGCCCATTATGAAAAAAAATGCTGCAGAAGTGCGATATAAAGAAAAGAAAATATTTTTCTAGTGGAAAATAAGGTATACTTACAACCAGTTCAGCCTTGGCATATATTGGCACAGAGGTTTGTCAGGCAAATGAGCAAGAGAATTATTCATCATCTCACTGGAAACAACAAACAAACAGTATAGGTGGCTAGATTTGCAAAAAATGACATTGTGGAAAAAAAATCTCTTATACTTGTGCTTTTGAAGAAAAAGCAGAAAGCACTCAAAGCTTCATTCATTTCTCACAGCTTTAGGGATACTATTATTTACTTAAAATTGTATACAACTCTGTGAAACGCTGCTTTTTTCCTTATCGCGTCAGTTACCGGGTAAAGGAAAAAATATTTATTTCATAGCTTTTAAAATTAAACAAAGCAAGTCATTGCAAGTATTTTGACTGTGCTGTCATAACATGTAACTTCTCTTAGTGACATGGGAAGGGGGAGATGAAGGGAGGCTTCTCTCTGGGCTGCAGGGGCCAGGTTATGGGCAGGGTCTTGGAAAGGGAAGTAAGAGCAGGAGCCATGGGGCAGTGCTGGCTCCCCATCACCTCCCAGTGGGCAACTGGCAGCCACTGCTGCAACTGGCATGTTTTTTGTCCTCTCAGGGCCATAAGTTTGTGCTTCTCTTTCCCCACCTATCTTCCTACACTTTTCCAGATAACGTATGACCACTGATGCCCAAATCTATTCTGGCACGCAAGAAAAAGCAGCAGATTCACTGCCATCCTTTAGGTGGTTCCTGCTTGCATTTGTGCCAAGGAAAATTTTGTGGACTTTCTTGGGAGTGAGTTTAGTGCTTGCCAGGGTTTTTGTTGTAGATTCACTTTACAAAGTGAATTCTCACACATACTCTCTGACCTCTGTCGTGGCTTCAGGAATAGCAATTCCATTCCTATTGATTGTGATAGTTCATCACTACAGTTGGGCAATTAGTCTGTGTCTGAAAAGATGGGCTCCACAGGCGTGGAGATGCTTCTGAAATAGAAGCTCTTCCACAACAGCAGACAATATAGTGTGATGAGCAATCACAGCCATTATAATCAGATGTATATATTCATTATATATGACCTTTCTGTTCCTTTAAGTAACGCTTTTGGTTCTTATTCCATACTTACAGGAGGATAAGTGATTTGAGTCCATAAAATGTTGATGGAGAGATCCGATTTATCCTATTATTTTCAATTATCCTGTAAATTATAGCAAAACACGTGTCAGACTGAGAGCTGTCTACAGTCTTAAATTAAACAGATGAGAAAAGACAACATAATTTGAAGTCGCATTCTTCAAATACTCATTCAAACTACTTAAATGGTATTGGCACACTACTGCATAGCAGGTCAGGGTATTCATATTCACTTCCTTTCAGAATAATGTAATATTTTTTAGAAATATTTTTAACTTACAGGAAGTAACTGCTTTCCATTTTTTCCCTATAAAGTGCAGCATGAGTTCCTTAAATATTATCTGGTACAATAGTACTGCTATGCACAAAAGTTTGAACAGTCCAAATATTTCCTTGAACTTGCTTTAATCACTCCTTGAGAAGTCAAACATATCACTGAGAAAGTTACGTACAGCCATTCAAGTTTATGGAGATCTTCAAAGACACGAGGCTTCAAGTTGGTTATCTTGTTGTTACTCAGGTATCTGAATCAAGATCAATAAAAGACAAACAAATGAGATGCATCAGATACATGAAAACATGTTTTAAGATTTTTCCTTGATAATTGATGCAATTTCTTACTATTATCATTTTTGACTGTGGGAAATTCCTTTTTTTTTCTTTTTGAAAAATAGCCCACTTATAAGCAAACACACACTGGTATGTGACTCCAGCCTCTGTCTCCCCAGGAAAACCAGCTTTCTTTGGCATCAGGAGATGTTTAGGCATGTGTCTTTCATTGAAATGCCAGAGCAACTCAGATAGATAGACAGCAAGAGAGGAACTCACAACAGTAAGGACATTCTGATCAATTATGTGAAATATTTTGTCTTATAGATAAGAAAACACTGCACGCTGAGCCCTTTCACCATGCCACTTTTGAGCCCCATTCCAGTTTCATTACATGGAGTGATTAGTTCCATGAATTTTCTGGGGTCACATTCAGTCTTTGCTAAGGATATAAGTCACAAATGGAGATGCCCAAACTGTGGAAAAAGAAATGTGGGGAAACAAAGGTGGCACTGATCTGGGAGACTAATAAAGGCAGCTGCAATAACAGATAATCAAACACACTTGTGAAGGAAATGTAAGATGTACAATATTAAAAAACATAAAAAAATCCCATCACAAGCACTGCAGAGACAAAAGACTGAACTGAATGATAGAATTTATGCATCTTCTCTTTCACTCAGCTCTTTCTGTAGAAGTCTGAAGTGCCTTACAAAAAGATACTGCAAAATTATGGGAAAACATAATTTCTTTCCATTACTGATACTGGCTGCTCGTGTTCACTTCCATGAACCAGAATAGCACGTTAAAGAGTTCTAATTCAGGGCAAGATCTTGCTTGTGTTTTACTTCTTTTTCCATTCTTTCTGACTATCATATTGTCTCCTCCTTCCTTCTTCGGGCAATAGGAGTGATTTATGGAGCCCACTCGTATTTTCAGAGTATTGTCCTGTCAGATAAATGTAAATAGACAGAACACAGATAGCTCTCAATCTTTGTTTTCTCATTCATACCCTGGAGATAAAGATTTGGACCATTACATAATTCCCTAATGTTGAAACAAATAAGAGAGAGAGAGATCTGCAGCAATTCTCAAAGCTGTTCCCAGTTTCTCTTAAACATTCCTAAAGCAATACTTACAATTTTGTCAAGTTGTATAAACCTTTGAAAGCATGTTTGGACACAGCTCTGATTTTGTTATCCTGAAGATACCTAGGAAGATAGAACAAAACCAACAAAAAATCAATTCTCTGTAGCATGCAAAGTCAAAGGAAGAGTAAGTAAAGAATTGCAGTGTATCAGCTAAACTGGAAAAGAGGCTGTCAAACTTTCTTGCATCCTAAATTTGACAATAGTCTTTTTAGAACTAGAGTTGCAGAGGCTGCAGAGGTGTTTTAAAAGAAATAAAAAATCGTGGCAGAAATATAAAATGTGTTTAACGGGACATTTGGTTTGCCTTCAATGAATGAGGAAATGGTTATGCTCAATCTCCTGATAAATCAGCCCCAAGATTCCTGCTACATTGACAAAAACACCAGTTTTTACAAAGCGGGTCCGTGACGTTCACTGCTCAAGAGCTTTCTAAACACACTCAGAGATGTGTGAAGTCAACGTTAGCAACAAATACCTTCTTCAGGGAGGTATTTTTATCCTCTTAATGAAAAGACATCTTTAAAGTCCTTAAGGCAATGGTATTTAATTAACATCGTGGACACAAGATGGTGCTGCAGTACAGAACAGCTGCCATAAAAGTTGACATCCAGTCTATTTCCTAGGAACGTTTCGTTTTAGAATTTTGCATGTAATCCTTAATGGAACTAATTTTATATCAATTGAACTCATTAAAAGCTACGATTTTTGAACAACAAAAGCACTGCACATCATAAACACACACCCTATTATACTGCTATGATAATTTGACTAGTTGAGCCTATAGCAGGGGGTTGAAACTAGACGATCTTAAAAGTCCCTTCCAACCCAAATCATTCTATGATTCTACAACATCAGCAGAGTGGTAGCAGACACACTCAGAGGTAAAAACTAATGCCATGTGAGTAAGCTTCCCATTCCAGTGGAAAGGCTAATTCTCCAAACTTTGATTTTGCTGAGTAAATGATTCATATTTCTACTTCCTTTGGCATATTGCTATTCATTGTAAATCTAACTTCATTCAGACACAATGAAGTTTTAACATTTTGCTGGTACAAACCAATCAATATAAGAAAAGTTAAATACACAGAAATTATAGCTTTGAGAAAGAAAAAAAAAAAAAAAGAGATGCCAATCAAATTATTTGAACCAAACATTTTACATGATTAGTGAAGTACTGGAGTGGAAGACAAAACAGAATTTGGAGTGTAAACTGAGGCCTGTCACATTAAAGCTTGTGTAGTGCATCAAAGAGAACGAGAAAGAGTGAATATTTAAAGATCTTAATAGATATTTTAAGTTTAAATGCTCCCTTACAGGTTTTTAAGGTCTTGGTATTTTCTGAAAACGTCAGCATAAAGTTTTCTTAGCAGATTCTTCTGAAGAGACCTGTAGGAATGAATGCACACAGTAAATCTGCCCTGTAGGTATATCGAGGATGAACTTATCCTATTTCACACATTTGAAATGATTTCACAGATTCTGATGCATTTTCACAGTAAATCAAACGATTTGGCAGAAATTTCTATAATAATTGGCTTTTTCCAGTAGAGTCAGGTTATATGTTTTGGACTGCCTCTGCATAGCTTATTAACTAAAAGACATAGCTGTCATACTCTCTTTTTAAAGTTAAACAGAATCAAATCCTTTTGCATCAACCAAATCAAGTAAAAGGTTTATGCTAGAAGTGAGTTTGAGTTAATGGAGACTATGAAAATACATGAAAGGAGAAATTATTTTACTCATTGTAATTTTGTAAGCAGCTGTTCCCATTTTCCACTTTTCATACAGACAGTATCCTTTCAATCCTCCCTGTCCAGATGATTAAAAAAAATGTGATTAAATCAGCATGAACTAATTTGAACAGTGTAAGACCAAGAATATCATCTGTTAGACCTGTGAAAGGTCTCTATCACTACACGGTTGATCCAAGATGTGTCACAGGGCAATCCAAAGAGCTGGCAGATTCCCAGTCAGGATGGAAAGTAGTCCTTACCAGCTTCCAACGGTGCTGCAATGATTTTTTACTCTGTAAGAGCATCTTTCATACTGCTAATTAATAAAAACCACGCAAGTTTCACACCCAATTAAGCAGTAAGCCCAATACTTTATCATCTAAGAATACTCTTCAATGTTCTTGAGGAAGAAGACAAAGTACTAGTTAAATCCAAGAATCGAAAATATTTGAGTATAAAATAAATCACAGATTTATTTCAAGCCTCAAATGCATACACAACTTATTTCAAACCTCAAATGCTTATTTCTCTATTTGTGTTTCTCTACGTCCCCGTCTACACTGGGCGTTAACTTAGGTGTTCTGACTAGAACAAAAACCATTTAGGACATGGTTGAAGCCTAGTCAGCTTCCCTGACTCACTGCTTTTTCCTAAGGTCATAGCTGCACCTTTATTTTTGAAGCCTTTACTATCTCTGAGCCAGCAGCCAGTTTAAATACGTATTAAATACATATGACATTCTGCACTAACCTGAATTTGAGCTACTGAACGTGAACCAACAAGAATCCCACCCAAACGCAAACAGAAACTCAACAGAGATCTGTAACTTTGATTTTTCAGGAAAGATCCTTGGGACATTTGACACTGCTCTTCACCATACAGAAAGTGGCCTCTCAAAGAAGTGCTGGCAAACAAAGAGCAATACCAGAGGGGGAATATTGCCAGGATCGTAGAACAATGAAACAATGAAAAAGTCCTAAATGAAACATTTATTTTTAAAATTTCTTTAGATTTTCTGAAGAAGCAGAAGTCACTGTTATAAATACCGACATTACACAGAGTTTTTCAGTTCCTTTTCTCCTGTGGTATGCAGTGAAAAACTATACTTCAAACCTTAGAGGAATTGTTAACTGATTGTCAATCCTGAACACAGCACAAGACCCCCATCATGCTCTACTCACATCATGGTGACGTTTGAAGGGACCAAAGGGACGGCACGCAGTTTGGCAGCATCGCAGGAGACCTCCAGCCCTTGGCATGTACATTCTGCTGGTACAGCACCAGCCACTGCAGGAAGGCATGAGAGTGGTCGTGGTGGAAGATTGGGTTTGCGTTGCAATGGAATGCGGAGGAAAGAAATACAGTGTAAAAAGAACAGTAAAGCTAAAGATGGATCTACCAGCCTGTGTCAAATGGAATTTAAATGAAGGAATACTCTTTTTTTTACATCATTTGTATAGATCTAGGAATACCCTAATAATAAACGTTAAAAAATATTTCAACTCCCAGCCACAGAGAAAGAGCTTTTACAACAGAGCTATAGGCTTGATACAAGAAGATGGCATGCTATATTTTTTCAAACTTTTTAGACTATTTGATTCTTTTACATCTACCAGAATGAGCAAAGTTCCATCTCTGTGATTCATCTTAGTGCTCATACTAGACCACTTCTGTATGAATGGACAAAAGACTGTAGGTGTAACAGAGAGTGGGGTTCAATAAATATTTGTTGAGTGAAAAAGTGAATTTGAACGAACGTTGCCTTCATTTCACTCTGAAAAATGTGCATTTCATGATCTTTTCAGCTGAATTCATGTATTCAATTAAACATTTATCTTGCCCTCCTAACTGGCAAACATTTAGCAGTCCTCTAATAGAAAACAAGTCACCCCTAATGCAACTGAAATTAGCTTAAATACATTTGTTAGTCTGAGACATTAATTCTGTTTTACTACAAATGAAGCTGCACTACATTTCTATTTCTGATAAGTGCATTTGCTAAATATTTATTTCCAGGAGTCGTCAATAATAACAACAACTTACGGCACTCCGGTGTCTTGGTCTGAAATGCGTACAGGGATTTCATTTTGTTGAATTTGTTGTTTCCGTAATGTTTGTCAAACTGTAGAGACCATCCATTGTTGTCTTCTAACAACAACAAAAAAGAACAACACAGACATTAGAATAATACCCTCACTAAATTCAATAGCATCTATTTTTTGCTTTTCTTTTTTATATCAATAACGTGATTATTCTAGAAGATTTCATAGAACAGTAAATGACCTTGTTTGAATATATCTGTCCAATTAATTCTATGTACTGAGTTTGTAGGTTGCACAGAAGGAATATCTTCTGATGCCTTAAGCAACTCAGCACTTTCTGTGATGGAAAGGAAAGAAGGAAAGGGGGAAGGGGGAAGGGGGAAGGGGGAAGGGGGAAGGGTGACATTTCACTTCTGAACTTCTAATTTCTTCCCTGAAAATGTAGATGGAGGCCAATCAAACAGCACTTCTCGAGACAACATGCGATATTCTGTAACACATTCAATGCAGTATTCAACACTGCACCAAAAAGAAATAAAAAGAACTTTTGACAGCTGTGGCCTGCTTTTTGTCTTGCAAGTTTGGGTCTGACCTCTCTTCAGCTCTGATAATGTCCAAACGTTTCTAGTTTCAAGCATCTCATTTGAACAAATTTGCACCTGTAGCAGCAGTGCTCCTTAGGATGGCACTCGCTATTCGGTGAGCTGAAGTGTCAGTGGTAATTAGAAACATTATTTGTAATGATACCTGCTGTCAAAAAATATTTACATGTGAAACCCAAGGATGGCTCTGCTGATTTTATTATTACACTCTTAGTTGCATTTGTTTAATATACTAACACTGGCTTCCTCCATTTTGCATGGTAGTCTAGTTATACTAGTTAAATACCATTCCTCATGAACATTTTCCTATAACTTTTTTTTTTTTTTTTTTATGTTCAAGCAAGAACAGTTGTCTCAAAAAATAGGTAGGGAGAAGTGAAACGTATTTAATTTTTTGTAAATTCTCCCATTCTGAAATGGTGACTTATTCCTCATGTCACATTACAATGCATTTTCCTCAGCTCTACAGGGAAATTACCTTGCAAGCATCTCCTTAAATCTGCCCGCAGTGTCAGCAGATGGAGCTCTTCTGAGAGATGCTTAAGCTGAAAAGCTGCACTGTGCATTCTAATTAACAGATATTTTGAATGAGTAGGAACTTTAATCTTTTATTCATTTGTTATGCATAAATTGAAAAAAAAAAAAATGAGGCAATAAGAAATCTCTGTCTTCAGGAACTGCTTTATAAAGAGAAAAAAAAAAGATTTGATTGAAAATACATGTTAACCATACTATGCCCTACAAGAATGTCAGCTTCCCACCCAGAGAAGGCACTTTTTTCATTAACTTCCTTGAGAGCACCTGGTGTCTGCTGAAGGATTAGCAATTTTGCCAGGTCAGATCATTAAGCTGATTATCAGAAGCTGCATAATTCATTTTGGACAAAACGAAGGGAGTCTAAATCTGCTGAAAGACTGCTCTGCTTGTTTTAAATACTAAGCAGAAGTTCCGTTTTAGGACTGGATTACAAACCTGAAATGTGGAATCTATAATCGATGAAATGAGGAAAACAGATCCTTTGTCAAGCAGTGAGGGATTATAGACCTCCTGTCCTGCAGTTAGAGCTGTAATGGGGTTTCCCCTACCACCATTTCTGTGTTGTTGGTGGTGGCTCTTTTTTTTTTGTATTTTTTTGTTTTTTTTTTTTTAATTTTAAAAAGGATTTCACTCTTTCATTTGCAAAACTGGACCCAGCAAATGGGGAGCTGGTGGAACTAGTAGTAATAGCCCGAATACAGAGGAGGTAATATTTAAGAGGAATCTTTCATTGAGGGTTGTGAAATAGAGATTTTTAAACATGTGTTAAAACTGAGTTTATTCTCAGAGTATAGTCACAGCAAACAAATACTTTGCAGCCAGGAATACAGTCTCAAAACATGGAACTTCTAATCCATAATAAGAATCGTAGAAAAGTTTGGGCAACTAACTGCTTCTCTGAATTTATAGTTAAAAGCCATAAATTCTAATTCTCTTGTAAGCTGATAGACATTTAAGGCATCAATTTTTTTTTATTTTTATTTTTTGTCTGTACTTCTCTGCTTCTGATGCTAGAGGGTGGATAGATAAAATTTGATTCCACTTTTTAGTATTTTTTTAAATGCTTTTGCCACGTTAAAGCATTTACAAAGGATGATCCCTGCAGTTTTTATTTGCAGAGAGAAGGCACGAGCAGAGCCTCCTATGCTAAAAGGGACGAGGGAGCAGTTCACTATGAAGTGGAAGTTCACCAGTGGTTCCAAGGAAGTCAAGAGACAGCTCTGTATTTCTGAGTGGTCATAAAAGAGAAAGGGGAAAAAAAAGAAAAACGAAGACCCATTATTTTGTAGTGGAACCATTCAGGCTGTCTAGAATGTATAAGTTCAATATTAAAAAAAAAAAAAAAAAAAAAAAAGCATTTTTTTTTTCCTCCCTATGGCTTTTTTTTTTTTTTCTTTTTTTTTCTTTTTTTTTTTGACATTGAAAAATGTTTGGTTTGGGCCAAGTCTTGTGTTAAGTGTGGAACAGTCCTTATTTTACGTGAGTTGTTTTGTCAAATCTCAGATGAATGCATTGTATGAATAACTATTTTGTGCAACCATTCAGTGGAACACCAAATGCCAGAACTCTAAAACGCTTTGTAATTATTTAGGGTTTATATGGTAGGTTTGCGACCTGTTTACTACTGTTGAGATGAGGTTCTCCAAACTGTTTAAGAAATGACTGGCAATAGCACTGGTCTTGAAATTCAAAATCTGTCGTTTGAGGGAGTACAGCTCAGATGAAAAGTTACTTTTTCCCGAGCCAGTTCTAAAATAGTTTATGTTGGCTGTACTTCAGTAAGAAGGAGATCTGAGAAAACAAGGAGTGAGCGACTATTCCCCTGTGTGGGAGAAATGAACTAAATTATTGTAAACTGGACTTATTTGAAGGCAGATTAACATACTGTTCCTTCCTAGAGGTTGTCAATTACCATTTCTGATGGGAATGAGTGTGTTAGTCTTGTCAAATAATCCTTTCAGTGACAAATCCAAGAAAAATATCCCTTTTTGCTCCATTAAAAAATGTAACTCGCATATAACATATGTACACACTGTATAAGATAGAAGTACAGGCCTTATAAAAAGAACTACAGGCCTTAAAAAAGAACACACTCTATAGAACTTTCTCCTTCTCTTGACCGTGTGTTCACAGGTCACTACAAAGAGAAATGATATCAGTGAAATGCATAAATGCTTCTGCATTCTGAAGAGCCATTGGGACACACTTTGATTTTGCCTTTGCTGTCGATGGACATAACTCATGGATGTATTTACTCCAATAAACTTTCTCTCACTGTAACAAATAACTTCAGGATTTTTAAAAAAATACTTTTTAGTATAACAAGGAAAATCTGTCTTCTCCGGGCAAGAGTGCAGGAGCAACTCCTTTTAAAACATTCACATAATTGCCCTTTTCCAGCATGAGGATATGCTGATGCATTCCAATAACTTATGGCAAGACCAAACCCATACTGAGATTTTACAGAGAGGAGTCTTGCAGTGCCTGGAACACTGGACTCTGAGAGTAAATTTCTCAGCCCAGTTTAGATATCCAGGTGAAGAAAATTTGACTTGCTTGTCAAAGCAAAGGCAACATGCCCCACACCAAGATGTGTTACTGTACACTGACCCTTTTCTGTACCTGCTAATGAACTGAAATATAACACGCCTATTTATATGTGACAATGTTATCTCAAAAACAAACAAACAAAAAGGAATTATATCAATTCAAATGAGATTTACGCTTTTCTGAATGAGCTCAATTTCCCGCTTGTGTGAGTTTATTCTTGATTTTAAGGTACCCACATTAAACCACTGCAAATTTAAGGAGATAAGCAGGCTCCAACTTCCAAAAGATAAATATCTTCCCAATATTGTACCTTTATTCCCGTAAAACATTTGCACAAGAGAGTTCTCTAGTTTACAGAACAGAATTTTTGATCTGTATACATTATTCAATTTTCCTGTTTCGTTTTTCTAGAACTATTTCCCAGGTTTGAAATAAGTGTGACAATAAACTAATACAAGCTAATAGCACAGATATGTACATAAACCTTGCATTGCTCTGAAGATCCACTATGAGTAAGCCATGACTTTGGAGACCCAAAGAGAAAAAAGTCTAGAAAAGAGCTTCCCTCAGCTATCAACAGTCTTTCAAGATCTGATTGGTTGATTGATTAAAAACCTCCAGAGCTTCAGCAAATCTATTTGATAGTTTTAGATCAGCGTAAATCTAATAATTTCAGTGGTATGTGCAGCTGGATGAATAGCAGACAGAAGAAAAAACTTGTCCATATACAACTGCATATATAAAAAATTTAATGTGACTATCAAAGACCTGATCTTTTACCAAATATTTGCTACATTGTGAACACATGCTGCTGAATTCCAAGTATTTTCTTTTTGCTTTACAAAGAAAATTTACAGGCTCAAAGCTGAGTGTTGTCTCACATGTTTAAATCTCACTTTTTAAGCATTATGTACATAAACAGCATGCCAGGAAAACGTTAGACTAAGTATAAATATCATTCATTATTTGAAAAACAGAATTGTCCAGCTCGTCTGCAATCTGCTGAGGCAAAACCAAGAATGTCGTATTCTCTGAAACTTCCCATTTCTTAACGAGCAATTTTGCAGTATTAAAGCATGTATCTTTCAGACATCCCATAGAAATTTAGTTTTCTGCTATGGAAATCTAAAATACGATGTATTAAATCCACGAAGTGCAGTAATTCTCTCTAAACTTGTAGATGCTCAAAGAAATACATGAGGGAAAACAATGACAGCTATACAGAATTTCGTTATTTTCATCCCGTCAAACTTTATGGGCCCTTTTATAAAAGGGGTAATAATTCTTGACGTAAAGCCAGCCTGATGGCATGGCACACAGTAACAGGTGAAGCCATTGCTTGTAAATGGAAATAGGTGCAAGACTTCAAAGAGTTTACTGCCTCCGTTCTTTCAGCAATCCACATCTGTGATTTCCA